CAGAGCGAGCGCTGAGTGTTATTAATCGTTTGCTATATGTTTCAACGAGTGCGTTATATAGCCTTCGAGTGAAGTTGGTGCGCCTGCGCCTTATATAGCGTGCAATTTATAATTCTGAATATGGTAAAGCGAAATTAAAAAAAGAAAAACGATAAGCGACGCTGCCCAGGCTTCAATCATCTCATACCGCGTGCGTGAGCATCTTTTTGACAGCATATATTCGCGTTTACGTAATTTGGCATTTGCGGCTTTGACCTCCAAGTTTATCATAAGGTATTTAGTGTTACATTGGCCTTCAAATAAAATACGTATCTCACGCACATTTCCGTGCTACACCTGAAGCAAAAATAAAAAAGAATGCTTAATATCGCGCGTCGCGACAATTCACTACCACATCGCGAATTTCGTTTCATTTTCATCGGAAGTGATTTTTTAAGAGCTTCTGTTATTTTAAATGCACGACGAGGGGGAGTCCTGTCTCCTGTCTGTGTGTTCATCTTTTTTATTTTTTGGTTACCGCAGTTTCTTAGCCGTAAGATACCCTATATACCCAACCCCCGTCAAGCACGAGGTCGGAAATCGCGTGGTGGGTTGTGGGAGAGAGCGTTTTATGGCGGCCCATTTGGCGCGACAACGAGCGTGGAGAGGAACAAAAAGTTCTGCTTTTTTTTAGTAGATCGGAGTGAACGGGCGCACAGATTTCCTGTTCCGCATTATCAATTTGTTATCCTCGTCGTGTTTATTGCACATGCCTCCTTCCCCCCTCCGCGCGCGAGAGAGAGAGAGAGAGAAAGAGAGAAAGAGAGCTTTATTCCACGCCAGATGGAATTTTCAAACGGAAAACAGAAGCCAATGAGATGCATCTTTTATTCACGAGCTTTGTGGCCAACTTCTCCGTCGCGATGGTTATCGCTCTCTCCTGATGTGTAATGAGTTAACTTCGACGAGACGCTAACACGACGAGGTGAAAAAAGTAGCATAATAACTAATAATGGCTTTATCTTTTTTAATGAATTAATATTTATAATTGTGTAAGGAAATTTCTCATCTTAATAATAGATTTTCGAAGTTCGTCTGTTATTCAAATTAGAAAAATGCCATGCAATATGCAGCGATTTTCATTGTCTCAAAAAAATGTATTTATTAAGCTATACACTGACAATAACTTTGGGTAAAAATGGCGAAAGAAACATGCTTATTAAGTTTTTTAACGAATCAATTATGTGAAATGGTATGTTAAGAAAATTCTCGTTTTGATTATAGAATTTCAATTGTTGTTTACTATTGAAATTGGAAAAATGTCCTTTCCTCGTGAAAAATTTATTTATCGTGCTTGTTATGCTGACGAGCGCACTTTACTGCAAGTAAAAAGGGTATTATATATGATCCGTGAAGGGCATCGAGCTGTCCAGTATGATTTAGACGGCCGGACACTGGATTTGGGTCCAGCCAACCAAGAACAAGATAACTCGGTCTTTGCCCCAGGCTCTTGGTGGTACCTGACCTTTTTTATCAGTCGATTTCGGTATACTTTGCTACGTATAGCACTTGTCAAATCAAGATCGAACGATTTGTTGTAGTAAACCGAGTTTGTGTATTCACAAAGTAGTTTATTTATTCTGTATTTCAATCAAGTTTGAAGATACTGAATGTCGTAATAAATCGAAAATTACACTTTCAATAGCATTGACTAAAAGAAATCTTGTCAAAATGTACTGCTATAGTTATTTGATAATTCAAAGTCCATCAGATGTCAAAGAGCGAAGACGATAAATCTAACATTTCTCAAAATTTTCACACCATGTCTCAACTGATAAAATCTCAAACTCGACAACAAAATACGCCTTATCTTTGGAGCGTATCCTGGTGCCTGTTCTCATACAGTCAGGCATACGGTAACGTGTGAATCGTGGTAAGTGGTATAATGAAGATTCCGTCCCCCGTTATGTAATATACGTAAGTATCATTACGATGCTGCTAAGATTAATTTTGCTCGAGGAAACTTGCAACGCCTTTTCCGAAGTGAGGGCTCGCACACACAAACACTGGCGCGTGAAACGAGGGTAAGTCGGCCCAAGAAAGGAGACTTTCACTCCCTTGGGACCTCGCGCAGGGGATTAATTGACACATCGGCGGCGTGCCGAGGCTGCTGTTCTGCCGCTCGAGCCTCGGTGACTGATGAGACACCACGAGGCGCCAAAGGAAAAACGCAGCCTTTTTTGTAGCGCTGGCAGGTCAACAGTTGGGCGAAGTAACGCTACGGCTGCCTGCTTGATTAGATGCCGTGACGTGGGCGATCTTCGGGACTCGATATTGGGGATGTGCTTGAGCGGTATTTGATACCTCCGCAGGGGATGACACTCTATTTGTATGAAGATTTGTTTCGTTTGATTAAAGGAGGGTTACATGCCGATACTTCGTTTAGTTTACAATGACCTGATCGGCTAGACTGATCGTTTGATGAACGCTCGATTAGCCCTGATCATCGCAGCGTTGGTTAACATCTCGAAATTAGACTCAAGCTTAGACTGAGAATTAAGCCGCAAAGTTGTAGTTTTATCGAGATTTAATCAGTAATTTAATTTAAAATGCATACATTTTTTCGCCATCTTTTTATGAAGCAAAGACGTTAAAATTTGAAATTTATAGCGAATCATAATATCGCATGCTTCTTTAAAACGTCAAATTAATCAGTTGAATCAATATTTAACATCAAAACGTGTTATTTCATCTTCGCACTGTACGTTTGTCGAATGAATTTGCTGACGTCCACAAATCAAACAATTAACTGTAACCTCCACACATCGCCGTCACTTCTGCCATTCGTGCGAGAAGAAAAGCAAGCAACGAAAGAGGAAAGGAAAGGAACAGAGTCGCAAATCAAGTTGCTGCCCCTGGTGCGATTTGCTCGCGAGAGATAAGAGACAAGCGTACGCGCACATATATGTGAGAATAATGGCTGTGGCAAACGGACGCTCAATTTACAGATGATTCTGCACGATGTAAACGCTTAATCTTAGGCGCGGCGTGCGACGGACTCGCGGGCCGTTAAATCGCGACCCTCGTGCCCCATAAACTTCCCCCCGGAGAGAGCGAGAGAAGTCCGGCCCGGGCGAGCGCGCGCGCGTTTCAGATTTATGGGAGCTCGATGCCTCGACAATAGCCAACAAGTTGCCGGAAAACGATCGCCCCAATACGTCTATGAAGTGCCGATGCGAGCAAACCATCCACCGAATAGAGAGGCCGCACGACGATTTATAAGCTATGTCAGCTTCAAACTAGGTTGAAGGCTATATAAGTGCGCTTGCGTTATGGATCATTATTGAGAGGCTCTTGTTCTATAATTTCTGGCATTCATATCTATGTTTCGATTGTTTTCAATGGTTTTCAATAGATGATAGCTTCTCTAAATGAGTTTAATCAATTCACAGCTCATTTTCAATGTTTCATGCTTATTTCAATCTATGTTTCCTATAGTTTCATTGCTTTCTTGTTATTGAGGAAATTGAAAACAAAATTTGAATATAAAATCTTGAAGGAGATAATAGATATGATGAAAAATAAGCACATTGATAAAGCTTCATATAATAACGTAAAAACAGGAAAATTTAGTTGTATCATTGAGTGAATTCAAATGAAGTCAGCATTGTGAAATTAATGACACTACAAGATGTCAGCTATAAAAGCTAATAGATACAAACAGTTTCGACAGCGCCCACAGAAAGCCCATAAACCTCTCTCTTGCTCTCTCTAGCAACCCTCAAGCTGTCTCCACATGTCGAATTGGCAAACTCATTCGAGCTTACCACCGAAATCTATTATACCTTACCGCGTGTTGGAACCCTTTTACTTTTCGTATGAACGGGGCAAACCTTCAAACAATTCCGCAGAAAAGTCATTAGCGCCAAAATGCCGGAAGCCTTCTGAAAATACTGTAAAAGGATAATAATTCATCCGACGGCGACGGTAGCTAGACACATGTGCACGGCAGATTTTTCTCAAAGTTTTCACGAGTCTTTTGATGAACTCACCGCGTGTTTGCAAATCCCCCATCTCTTGCTCGCAGATGCATTTAAAAGGACCAGCAAACAACGAATGAGTGAACGAATGAATGAGAATTGTCATTAGGCTGCACGCGCTTAAGCGGCCACCCTGTGGAGGACTACAATGATGAAGAGAGAGGGGCCTAATGAAGTTGTCGTGGAATAGAACCTTAACTGACGGGCAACTCGATAACAATTGGCTCAATAATATCGATTTGCTACCTATTGCTTTCATTCACTGCGGTTAATCTTGTGATTGGACGCGTGTGCGAAAATTTTATTTATCTGATTACGAGTAGACTTTTCTTTTGTTTGCTGATTTTTTTGTTTGGTTGGTTGACAATTTGCCTCCCCTTCCATTCAATGTTTTTACCGAGTGCAATGATTTCAAAAATGATAATAGAAAAATCTATCATTTAAAAATGACTTTTTTATAATGAGACAGGACTGTATCCATTTGGACATACCTTCCAAGTAGAAGTGGTTTTTTGTGCTGCGCTAAGTTTGGACTAATCCGCCAGTACCTTAGTGCAAGAACTTTTTGCAGACCTATACTCGGTTATCTAACATTGTTTATTTTTATTGAATAAATTTTTCCGTATATTTGAATACTTGTGGATAATTTATTGCATTACATTTCATTTTTAAGAAGCTTTCGGTATTTTACAAGATTCTTTAACGATTTCTTGTGGTTATATTCATAGACGATAAATTTTTAGTGAGTATTAGTGCTATTCATTTGATCTACGATCTACGGTATTTTAACTGATGTATTTCCAATAGCACACTCCATTATTTGACGATTTCTCTTCATTACTAGGACAAGTTGAAGTGTTGATAAGTAAGTATTCTTTTTTACTTATCGGCAAGTAAAGATTAGTTAAGCAAGCGATAATGACCTAAAAAATGGTGTCCCTCATTGTGAACTAACGAGGAAACGAAATTAAAAGAAATTACCTTGCTGACTGCTCTTCCTCGTGGTCTTCTTCTCCTTCATCCATGGATACTCGGGCACATTAACACCCGAGGCATCCTGCACAGCGTGTGGATCCATCATTCCATGATAGCTCTGATGATGCGAGCCAGGACTCAGGGGACCAACGGAAGCAGCAGCGGAAGCCGGCGAATGTTGAACAACTGGGCCGTCGGCAGCCATCATGAATTCTGCCATGGAGGGTTGGCTGCTGATGAAGCCCGTCTCGGCGACAACGGCGGGCGGCGGCGGCTGGTCCATCGGTGGCGGTTGCGGCGCCACCGCGGCCAGCCAGAACGCGCCGCCGCCAGCTTCGGTAGCCAGGACGGCCGGCGGTGTCGGCGACCTCGTCGTCTTCACGGACTCGATGTTCGCCGGTTGTTGGACCTGATGCTGATCAACGCCCGCGGCCGTGCAGCCGTAAAACTGTTGCTGCTGCTGATGGTGGAGCTGCTGTTGATGCTGCTGGTGGTGGTGATAGGGATTGAGGCCGACGGCCAGTGGCTCCTCCGCGATGCGGTGAATGCCGCGCATCAATTTTTATGTGCTAACGGCGCGTAGGGCGAAAGCTGCGACGGGGACTTTAACGTGACTGCCTACGCCATCTCCGCGAATAGACGATTGTCATTGTACACTTGGCATTTCGAGGCACTGCCTAGAGGAGTTACTTGGCTCGGAGCGCAATCAGTATCGGCATAGGTGCTGCACTCGGTCACACATCCAGTTCGCGCACTTGTTCAACTGTTCTTTATAACTGGTCAACGATGACACTGCTGCCGTAAGGATCGGAGTAGCAACAACAAGGAGAAGGTAGGCGAAGCGACCTACGCGATGGGCACGTTACACCCGCATGCCGTATCACACTCGACTCACGCCGTTGTATCGTGCTGCTGACTGCAGTGTCTCTCGGAGAGCGCGGGTATCCGATGGAGAGTACAGCGGCACGAGCGCGAGAGCGAGCGCGCCTCTCGCTGTCTCTCGCGTGGCGGCGAGCAGTAGCAGTCACGTGAGGTCGGGTAGGAGCCAATGGGCGTCCGGTAACGGGTGCGGCCCTCCCGACGTAGGCGGCGCGCGCTCTCAGGAGGACTCGCGCACTATCCAACTGCACATCCGCGCGCCTCCACTGCATTCGGTCGACTACGCGGTTTGAGTTAGCAGACACCGTGTGGGCGGGTACCCGCTTGCCGCCTCGAATGCCTCACCAACGCGAGAGAGAAAGCGGTGGGGATATCACTGTCACGTGCGCGCCGCATCCCTGGCGTACAGCATCTATATGTGCTATAGATTTTCGTGCGATTGTATGTATGCGGTCATGATGCTCGATTTTTCGACCTGCAGGTATATTGTGACACGGTGGATACAATGATTTTTTGTTTTTTGTTTTTCAAGACATGTATTTCACGATGCAAGTTACTGAGTTGCAAGTAGACGTAATTCAGAATTAAGAATGTTGGTAGCAGATGATAAGCTGGTGTGTTTGCTGGAAGCTATATAAGATAAAATGAGAGTTGTTATTGATTTTTCAACATTTTTTAATTTGAGGAATTTAAACAGCGTTCAGGACTATGTTGTGTATAAGTGTTTCGTAACAATTAATATGAAATAACAAAATTCTACTCACAAATGGAGCCCTTAGATGCCATACAGTATTTTGATTTTATTTTGAACCCAGATCGAGTTTTATGTACGTTATTGTATGCCGCTAAAATTTAAAATATCGTCAAAAGTCTATTTCAATTTTTGGTCTTTTCTTTGACAAATTTTCTTCGTATATTTGAAATGCTTCGCAATGCAAACCAATATTTATGGTAACCAAAATTGTTTGATATTTTGGAAAAATGTTGTAAAATCAAATCTTACTTTAAGATGAGATATTTAAAAGAAAACAAGTTATAAAAATCTTAAAAATATTCAAAAGTTATAATAAGAAGTTATAACATTGAATGTTATGTTTGATAATAAATTTCTTTCTCTGTATAATAAGTTAAAAAATCTTTTATTAAAGAGAATTTATATCGAAAACCATAAGCAATGTCCAGGAAACTGTCGAAAATAAAAAAAAAACAGTTCAAAAATGTCTACTGACACACAACTGTCGAATGCAATTTTTCAACAGGAAATGCAATTTTCCATGGTAACGTGCTTCGTTCTCGTCAGAAGATATTTTATCCCTAAAAATAAGAGTGGCATTTTGAAGCTTTCTTTCACTCTCTCTCTCTCTCTCTCTCTCTCTCTCTCTCTCTGTCTCTCCGCCCATCGGAACTAATATTTAAAACAGCGGCTGCAGAAGAGCAGCTAACGGTCGGGGCGCCGGCTGGTGCACTAGGCGTACGAGACAGCCCGAAACTCTCTCGATGACAGATTACCCTGATCCGCTTTTGTGGCGAGGCTCTCATTTGGACAGCCGATTTGATTGAAAAGTTCATCGCGCTCGAGTTTCGGCAGAATTTCACTCGACGCCATGAAAAAAAAAAAAAACAAAACAAAAAAAAAAGAACTTGCGCGTGCAAACGTTTTCGTAGAGTGATGCAGCGTACGGGGTTATCAATAATCATGTCGTGTCAACGCTTGACGTAAGTAAGCGGCGAAGGCTTTACTATGTGCCAAGGATGACATGTGTTTTAAAATTCTTTTCTTTCTTTAACAATGGCCGCGCTTTTTGTTCAGCAAATGTGTGATCAAGTAATAGTTGTTCCACTTTTCTTTTCGTTGAACCATTGACGTTTCGTTTATTTATAAATTCTTTCGGTCAGTAGTAATACGATATTTCAAGGTTTTTGAGTTTGGTATGACTAAAAACATTTTGAAAGCTATTAGCACAAGGTCATTAAATATATCTACCATAACACTGTTAAAGGCGTTAAAATTTCGAAATAATGACTCGGACAAATTGCTGTTTGCTGATCTGTTTAACCAAAAGTAAGTTTTTTATCTACTTTGACTTTGAACACTAACGGTTTTCAAAGAAACTATTCTGTAAACCTTATTTTTTTCCTTCTCTCAGCAAGGGACACTTTAAAACCCATTTTAAAGCAAAAAATCTTTATATAAAATTCAATTTTCTAGTAATAATGTATATTCCTCTAGACGGTATTCTAAATTTATTTGTAAAAGTCAAAAATGCGCAAAAAGTTTGTGATCGATATGCAAGCTTATGACGTGGAAGTATAATACACCTAAATAGATAATCCAATTACGAAGGGCAATTTCTCTCTCACGTAAAATAAAAAAAATGCATTTTGATTCCAATAACGGCACACTCACTCATATTCATATAAGAGAGAGAGAGAGAGAGAGAGAGAGAAAGATTGTAGGAGGGGCCTCTCTCGCGGGGAAAATTTCGGGGATGCTGCAGCACAGCATAGCGGGAGCGAAGTGCCACATCTGCCGCCAGAGATTTAACTATACATTACAGACACACGATATGTCAAAGTCCTATACTTCATATCGACTCTGCCATTTATTAAAAGTTTCATCGCGCGCGAACGCGCTATGCGCCTTTTCCTCCCTCCTTTCGACTTCGCGTCGTCGTCGCGCGCTGCACGTACTTTTTCTTCGCCGACGTCGACTACTGCCGCGATTCGCAAAAATGGGAACGGAGTTTCCACTGCATCAAACAAGTTTTTCTTCGGCCAAGCGTTGAGAGATATCCGCGTGCGCGCGCGCGAGTTTGCTGCTTAACTATCTGGGCTAAACTTTTTCATTTTCGACTCTCTCTCTCTCTTTTGTTCTCTCTCTCTCTCTCTCTCTCTCTCTCTCTCTCTCTCTCTCTCTCTCTCTCTCTCTCTCTCTCTCTCGTTCTTCTTTCAGCTCACTGCAATTTTTCAACAATTTTTGTTTTGTGTTGTCCAAGGCGTGTCGCTGTTCTGTAAAACTATTACACTTATACACTCTTTTCGTTACTTTGCCAACGACTTTTTCTTTGAGTGAAAATGTGCTTCAACCAATTTTAATGTTGATACACGTATCCGCAAATGGTTTTGACTACCAATACTGGTCTCTATTGAAGCCTAGTAACGGTACGTTGTAAAATGGTAATAAGGTCGCTTATAATGAAAAAAAGGCAGAAAAAATCAATTGATTATACACTTATTCAGACCTCAAATGTCTTCTCGAAGCAAACCTAATTAACATTCGAGGGCATACTAATAAGCGCGTGCTGTATATATAGACAATCGAAATTAAAATTAGCCTAATGGTACGCCGTAGGACGGCTAAAACAGCAGCTCGTGACTGCGCAGCCAGAATCAATAGGCACACAACAACGTGGCATTAAGTATACATTTTGTATACACTTAAAAAAAAGTAAGGTAGGTAGGAGGCCAAGGAGGGCGAAAATATCTTCTCTACCCCCTCTGTTTCAGTTTTTTTTTTCATTTGTTGCTGCCCAGCAAGCGACAAACTCGTCGTTTTTTTTCTTCCTGTGCGAGGTATATACATAAAACACCGCGGCCGATTGCGAAATGAAGTTTTATATTAAGCTTCCAGTCTTTCTCACTCCCTCTTCTTTTTCTCCTTCTCTGGCTCATCCACTTGTGTAGAGAGAATCTTTCTCTCTCTCTCTTCTTATCCACGCCCATTTAGCGAACCCAACCCCAGCTCCTTGTGTTTTTCGCTGCCGCACACCGCACCGAGCTGCACCCTCACCCCTCCGTCAGCTTTTTTCACGTCGTCTTGCATCGCTTCATATCTCTTCTTCCTATAGACTGCTACTTCTTCTTCTGCCTCTTGTTGTTCTGCAGACCTCTGTTTCTTGGTTTTTGTCTATTCGTTGTTTTTGCATATTTCGTATACACTTGCTGGTATCGTCAATTGGAGTTGGCTAATCGATAGTGACAAATTGCGAATATACAATAGCTATGTATTTTATAATTTAAGAATCGAAGAAACATTTCTTGATTCGTTTTTTCGTGTGTTTCCATCATAATAATGTTCGAAAGCTCCAAGAACTGATAAAAATGACTTTAAGCTCCGAATGCCAATCTCATTTATGCCGGGTATGTATTATACTCAACCGAATGTACATTACATAATCTGTACGATATTTTATGTCCGCCGCTATTCATTCTATCGCGTCGTTTCACCTCCGTCTCACTATACAGTGTGATGACACACTTACCTCGCTCGACAGTATCTCTCACAGCCACTTAGGATGGCAACTCGATAGATCGTTACGGCAAAACGTTAGCATATATATTGACATCGACTCTCTGCTCGCGCTATATAAGCGACACATATCCGCAGGTGTATCGCGCAGGTTTACAAGCATGCACGGCTGCTATTCATGGATTTCGAATGGACTTTTGAGTAGCTATCTCGTCGTAACGAGGCATAATACTTTTGATGTACGTTCTGTCAAGGCGTTGCCGGCTTCAATATTACGTTCCTCGCGGGTATGTGTGTGAGGAAAGACTCTCTCGCTTTCTGACATATGCTTCACAAGTCAAGATTTTTCCACCAGAGAGATGAAAACGTTTTGCTCTGAGTTATTGCGCTTCGCGGAGTTTCGAGTTTATCCACTGATGTACTCTCTTGATGATATGCGGAGAAGATGGGAGGCGTCGGGGAAGATTCCTGCGCGGGGTCATGGGGATTTTTAGCAAGTATATCACGAGAGGCAAAAATTTTGATTTATACTACTTGTGAATTGAATCTGAAGTGCCGATGTCGAGGGGCTATGCGTTATCAATCACCGTCCGAATCGTCATGCAAATCGGAAATTGATTGTTTAAATTTAAACGTCTGTGACAATTGTTCTGTGAACTGTTTCAATCAGTATGGTCTAAACAGCAGTGTTCTTTAGAAATAATGTGCAATTGAATTATAGTATACTTTTGTAAATATCTCGACAATCGGCAACTTGTAAAAAAAATGAAACTAACTGGCAGCGACACATCCGCCCGCCTAACCAGGCGACGAAGCAATTAAAAATAGACCATCCTTCATCGCCATTTTAGCATGGCACACGGAGTGAGTGAGTTAGAGAGAGAGAGAGAGAGAGAGAGAGACCATCTCTCGCTTGCTGTCAATCAATGTGGCGTCACAGTGACACTGTACACATACGTGTGCGAGGGCCAAAAGTTTT